TGAAGGGCGTGGAGGAGAAAGTCAATAAGCTCAGAAAGTCCGGTAAAGAATACACAAAAGAGCAGAGAGGCAACGATTTGGAGATGTTGAATAAAGTTGTGGAGAAGGTCGAGTTGAGGATGTCGGTCAAGGTTAATGATGTGCAGAAGGAGGTTCATGAATGGTTTGTTGCCGTCCTCCAACGCGAAACTCAGGAGGTATGTTGTAATTTCTCTTTTTGTTTGTCGTCGTGCTCATGTTGGAGTTTAGATTGATGCTGTATCAGAAAAGGTCAAAGCCTTGGCTGATCGTGCACAAGGTGACCTAGGACTGGACTACGCTTGGCTTGACGATGTTACATACTACGACTGGCAAAAATACCACGACCTCATGCGAAGTACGTCCACATTTTCCCTTATAAAACCTCCCTTGTTCAAATTCTTTCAGCGTCCGAAAACTTCACCACTCAAGCACAAAGAATCCAATCACAAGTCGAGCCTGAAGGGTCAAACGAAGTCGTTGACGCATTGAACGAACTTGAACAAGAAGTCAACGATGTCGTTGAAGGTTTCAACATCTTCATTGCCAGCATCAGACGGCGTGCTGAGAGTGACGATGGCATTTTTGGCCATGACGACTCTGCATCGAAGGTGGAGGAGGCAGAAGAAGAAGAGCCTGAGGTATCGATTCTTCCTATAGAACCCATCGACGAAAAGGTGGCCCCGGTGCCTGTGGAGGATGTTTTCGTCGGACGCTCCAAGGAGGAGGTCGAGGCCAAGCTCGCTGATGTGCCTGTCGAAAATGTTCGTGCAGGACGAGAGGAGCTTTGATTTGTGAACCCCTCGATGGTGGTCTCGCTGTTGATTGCTTGAGTTCATTTTGCTCTTATTTATCTACTTCCCTTTCGCCTGTGCTATCATTTTGCTTTTTCCTTTTAATAATTTCGCGTACGAGTTACTATATATCTTTCTAGCTCGCGATTGGGTGGGATGGTAGGGGTTAGCGAGTGGATACATAGGCCTTCGTATATAATAATAAGCAACGCCTTAGAATGTATAGGCAATATGGATAGACGCTTGTATGCTGATATTTCAAAATTCTTCTATGAACGACGTACAAACTATTACAGTAAAAGTACAGAGGTCGATTTGGATAACGGTCAATGAGGAGATTACATGTGTACACGGGGATGCAGGAATAAGAACTGGGGTCGAGGGTCGTCCATACATGTAATGGTCCCTTATAGAAAGAGATTTCGGTATGTGCATAGTATAAAGGGTTCCCTGTCGGGTTGGAGTATTTCAGAATGGGGTGTAGGAATGGATAGGTAATGTATTAGGCTGTATCGGCATTCGATGGGTGATCGTCACTAGAAGGGGTGTCGCTCGAGCTGGCCGTCATCGATCCGGATCCATTCTCGACTTTGTCCAGCATCTTCGACACATGCGGATCGATAAATTGTTTCCTTAGGTCGACCACCGTCTGTAGTACAAGGTGCAGTTGCCTCTGTGCTTGGTCCAAGTAGATAATCATGTGGGGCCGTAGACGTTCGTAAATTTTCAACGCGTGGCGCTCAACTGTGCTATAGAGAGTCTCTGCATTTTTTTGAGCATTTGTGAGATAGTGCTGGACGTGAGGCTTGACACGAGCACAAGCAACTTCAACGTAGTAGACAAGCTTGCGAGCGCTGGGAACAATAATTTTGTGGTAGTAGAAGCGATGCGGCCGAGTGTGTCGCTCGAGAATCGGGTGCAAGGTATCAGAGTAGGTTGGCTTGATGAACCCATTCCATGCTTGGTCAATTAGAAGCCAATGTAACCGCGGGGCGATTTCTGCATGGTAGAGAGACAGAGAAGAGTCTATGAAAGTAGAAACAGGAGCCACAATTCGAGTATGAGTGAAAGTTGCAGCTTGGGCAGCGTAAGGCTTTAGAGGTGCAACATATGGTTCGGAATGTTGAATCGCAGATTTGATAGGCGGTAAAAGGTATGGGTCAAAGATTCGTGCCCGATATGCATCTAACGGTTTGCATATTTGAGATGTAGAGCTTATACTGCAGACAGTTGCTGTATAAACCGAAAATGCGGAAAGCACGAGGAAGAATAGGATTTGTAGAAAACTCCGATGTGGCGCAGTCTTCTGAATTACTATAGATTAAATTCAAAAAGTACATGACATGTTGTATAGAACATACTTTTTTTTTCTTGTGTCGTCTTTCAGACTTTCTTGAAGATTGGCTAGTAGACATTGTTTTGCCGTTCAATGTGGCTGGGATTTGGTTTATTGATTGTTTTTGTAGTGTAGGACGTGGCGTTGGTTGAGTAGAAGGAGTACGAGAAACTGCAGGAGCAGCAGATACCGATAATTTGCGATTCACCACCATTATACTTCGACGTTTCAGGTCAAGTATGTAATATTTGCTTTTGTTTGGTCATCAAGTTGATAACTCCCAGACCTTGCCCAGACCTATATACCTGACCCCTCTTTGCTCTCTTCAGGACGTTGCTACAATAGACGGTTGATTGAAATGGGAAGAAAAAATCAGAAACATCACCTGTACTCTTTGCCTGGGAGTCGAACCCAGCTTACGCGCGTTGTGGCACTATGACAGGCGCGTGTACTAACCGATATACTAGCAAAGACGTTATGTTTGAAGCACTACTAGTGCAAACGACCTGGGATTCTTCCATTGTCAGCTCAATAACATCTAAAGTGAGCCCGTGAAATTGAGAGGCTCATCAGGAGCGATCGTGCAATTCGCTCTGAAGGTCGCGCTTTTCATTGAGGTGACTTCACCAGATGAGGTGCTTCTGCAGACTGTGCTGCACATACCGCATGTCAAGAATGTAATCGATATATTTAGTGGCAACCCCCCTCGACATACAAAATAAGAAAAAAAAATCCGAAAATAAAGCGGGCGATGGACCAGAATGGAGGCCAAAAATGGACTCACAAGAATTACATGAGGGAACTATGAGACTCGGAGAAGAGAAACAAGTTCACGGTGGATCTCTTCCATGGAAGGACGAAGGATAGGGTTAATCGTCCAACACTTTGTCATCAAGTTCCACAAAGGGTCTGTCAGTTGTGGATTGTCGGGGCGTCTGGGCAGTTTCTTGCGCACGAGAAACTCGACGATCACGGCGCTGTCGCTGCTGAGGTAGCGATAAGGTACATCTCCGGAAAAGATCTGGGATTGGATTTCCGTGATCAGTTGACGGCATTCCGGTGAACGAGGCCTCTTGCACTTACTTCAAGCATGAAAGATGCAAAGGAGAACGAGTCAGCTTTAAGGGTGAGTGGAAACTCCGTAGGTGCGACTTTCTCCCATGGTGTCCAGCGAGGGTTGCCAACGAAATGATGTGCATCTGGCGAGAATGTTGAAGTGACGGGATCCATAACCAGCGAGTATCCCATGTCCATCAAAAGTGGTTGGCCAGAGTCGTCCACCAATACATTCATCTGATAGATAGAAGATCAACTAAGTAGCTGGCGGAGATGTGCCTGCATTGTCAACTTACTCCACGTATGTCGCCATGAAGGATTGGAGGATCCTGGGAATGCAGATAGGACAATGCCGCCGCCACTTGCACCAGCTGAATCATTACACACGTCAACGGTAAGTACAAGCTTGAATGACAAGGCTCCACCTACCATTGGCAGTTTGGGGACGGCGGGGTTTCGCAATAGATATTGAGGTAAGGACCCATGTTTTTGGAACTTCGAAACAAGGTATACATTTGGTGATCGGTCGATATACAAACCCAGAGACGGCAAGATGTTGCGATGATTTGTGGTGGATGATACTAATGCCTCAAAAAAGAAACGCTGTGGATACTTCAGCACGGAAAATATCGGAATCCTAGGGAGCAGTCAAGCGCACCTTGATGTGCTCAACTGAAGCAGGCTGGGACTGGCTCTGCCTACATGTTTTCATTGCAACTCGTGTACCATCGCTCAAAATACCCTCAAAAACGTTGGAGGTAGGTGTCGTCGCAAATGGGTACAACGAAGCTGTCTTGATATCAATCATCTTCACCTCGGACGGAAGAAGTCGGGTAGAAAGCCATATCCGGGCCAAAAATTCACTCAGAAGTACAACTCCAACTTTACGAGCTTGGAGGGCCTTTGCCACGCACGATTCAGTAAAGAGGAGAACAAAGCTTTGCTTAACTCACAGAAAAAACATCGTCGATCAGACGTTGTAGCTGCCGCGTGTCCAATGCTTCAAGTACACCTGATCTCTCATTAACTTTGTTCTGTTTGAAATTCGTCTGATGTAAGAATAAAAAGGCCTTTGAAAACATACGGTGTTAAACAGTAGCTAGGCAATAATCACATGGTTGAGAACAACATGTACGGGAGGGAAGAAAATAAAAGAACTGCTTACCTTGAACCCAGACAATGCTGCCGAGTCGTCGACACTTGTGATTTCTTTCAACATGCGTTCCAATTCCAATGCAGCTGAAACACGATCGGAGTCGCAAAGAGTCGCAAGATATCGAGAAACAACTGAGGCCCAAATCTCCTCGAACGAGTCCGTGGATGCCTTCACCATCTTCGAGTTTTCTTCAAGTTCCGTGGTGGTATACATGATAGTTTGAAGTTGAAAACAATTGGAGTTGGAGAATAGTAACAGGGGTATAGCCTGAGCTGGGATGGAATATTACGCATGACATGTTTAGCAAATGGCTGTGTACCCGCAGTACTACAAAAGGTGTTGTACTGGTGTGCTGTCAAGTTGATCATCAGAAAATAGGCGCCCAATTCAAAAAATCTATCACGTGTAATCACACCTTTTCCGCAGTGGACAGCCTTCAAAATCGAGCAATCTCTCAATCTGCACTGCCCATGCTTCCCGTCAAAACTATGTGTCTGTAGATTTACCCGGACTTAACATTACGCGTAGTTTTGACTCTGCACGACCATGACACGACTTCCGGGCTCTGATCTCGCTCACCAAGACTTCGATAACGATAGCAGTCATATTGGAGCCCCCATGCTCTATGAAGGAAGTCTGAACTGGGAGTTACAGGAGGCTGAATTAGGCGCTGATACCACTGGAGGAAATTGGCTCACTGGAGTAGAATTGTCATCTTCTGTTCCCCTGGGCCTTGGAGCCTTTAGCGACGTCTACAAAGGTTCATACGACGGTCAACAAGTTGCTATCAAATACCTTCGAACTGGGAATCATGCTCATCGGAGACAACGCAGATTATGCGCACAATTCGCGCATGAAGTTGATCTTTGGAAGGATCTCTCTCATGAGAACATATTGCCCTTTCTTGGAGTGTCTCAACTTCCAAACTCTCCCATCCCCGCTCTTCTATCTCCATGGATGGATAACGGGACGTTGGAGGATTATTTGGAAACTAGTCCGCTTGTCGACCATCTAGAGCTAGTAAGAAAATCTGGTCGTATCTATGAGCGAAATCTCTGATGATTTTCGGCAGATGACCTCAATTGCAGATGGCCTTTCATATCTGCATTCAAGTACCGTAGTTCATGGGGACATTCACGCTGTAAATCTCTCATTTTTTCAGCCGTAAAATGTCTCATGATATGATTTTTTTGGTAGGCGAACATACTTATAGACAAGAAAGGAACCCCAAGAATATCTGATTTCGGCATAACAGCCGTGATACAGGAAGCTGAAATAAACCGCAATGACACCTTTGGACACATACGCTACCGAGCTCCAGAAATTGTCCTCGGTGACGTTTCGGCACCTACCAAGTCTTCCGACATCTATTCCTTTGGATGTGTCTGCTATCAGGTAACCGCAAGCTGCATCGTAGCCACAATCGAGTCTAATGTACGTAGATATTCTCTAGCTTTAAACCCTTTGCCAATATCTCGAGCGATATCGACGTCATTTTGGCCATATACGGGGGGACAACTCCTTTTGTTCAAGCTAACAAGCGATTTTTGGAACCTCCAAACATTGACAAAATGTTTTGGGACTTGATGCTATCTTGCTGGAGCCATGCTCCTGACCAGCGGCCACAAATGGAGCGGATACATATAGAGCTCAAGAATTTCCGGGTGCGCTTCTTTTTCAGCGTTTAACACAAGCATACCGCTCAAGTCAACCGTCAGCTTTCGGTATTAAAGCAGCCCGTCCAAAGCCATTTGTGACGATCGGAAGGGAATTCGTCTCGGATTTTTCAATCACGTTGGTGATGTCGAGTGGGACATTCACCAGACACGACGGATGTGATATATGTTCTCATTTTGGATTCGCGGCTCTAGTAGCGTTTGACGTCTCTTTTTTCTTTTTTCTTGGACCGCTTGAAACCTTGGTATATCTTGCTTTTGAATTTAGCGCAGGCGTTTCACGCAGCCAATGAATCAGCGATTTTATCCGACCATGCTTTTGGACTGAAACTCTAAAACCTGTCCACTCATTTCTTTACTCAACGGTAATTTCTTTCTTCTCTCAGGAATTGCGCCACAGACGGTCAGAAAGGTTTGATCAAACGGGCAAAAATTTGATGAATTACATATGCAATTTCGACTCGTGTCATTCCAGTTCATTCCTAGATGTTACCTCAGATGGAATAGTACCATACATGTGGAACATAAGCGGAACTGAGAAACTGAACTGAGAAGATCTAGTCACATGTGGAAACTTTGCTACCAAGCACAACTTGAAGCAAGATTAACAAAACAAGCTATACGAATTGGAATTATACAAAATCGAAAGTTATGTACACTAGATTGTACTATCATACATGGGACCAGAGGATGCAACATCTACTAGACAAAGAAGACAACACAAAGCCAGATCACTCGCAACTAACTAGGACACAGACCACAAGATATCACCGCAAATAAATAACTCAAGTTCGCTGTTTTCCACGAATAACAAGACCCCCTTCCCAAGAGCCAACATCCCAGTTTTCCGAAACAAGCTCCTTTCTGAGAGCAGGTTTAAGGACGCCGACTTGATTAACAGAATGCAGGCCACGGCCCGTGATGACCTTCAAGGATTTGCCTAACGATACAAAAGTCAATGTCGGAGCTCATTCATATGGAAGGAACGACGCACTTTGGGAAGTAGGAAGAGACTGAAGAATCTCTTTCACGATTACACACGCCTCATAAACCGTCGTTCCGTGTAAATCAACTTCATAAGGATTATTCGACGCCCGTCTATCAATGAAATGAGAAAGGCTCGACCGGTAATTTCGATATAAACCTACCTCTTGGCTTCCACCTTTTGACGCGCCGCATTCAGCCCTTCCGCACGAGCCAGCTCCTGGAACTCACGTGCCTATCAGAAGATGAGACAAAGGTGACTGAAAGAAAGAAGGCGCTAGCGAAAAAAAAAACTTACACGTTCTGCGAAGTAATAGGCAATCTCTCCTCCTCTTGACTTGGAATTACCCTTTTGCCACATTCTCGTAGCCTGTCTCAAAAACTTGCGCATATTCTCTTCCGCCCTCTGTTTAGGCTCACTAAGCTCCCCAACATCGCCTTTACCACCTTTCCCAAAGGTATTGCCCGAACCCTTGACCTTGTTAACATTTGCATAAGCTGGAATGTTTGCTGCTAGAGGATGAGGTCCCTTGTTGGCGGGTGGACGTTGGGGAACCGTCTGCCATTGTGACTGATCCTTTTCAGCTGGAGGCGGAGGGGT